CTTATACTTTTTCTTCTACCCTGAAGATGGGGGCGATACGTTCCTCCGAAACGTCGGTTAACACCACATATACACGGTGCCAAATCCCAGAAGACTGCTTTCTTCAAGTTTAATATTGTGTAAGGTGGGAACCATTATGGACTTATGCAACCCCAAACCCTGTACTTCTTGTAGTCTTAGATCTATAAGAACCCTTCCACCGAATTTAAACAAAATGTCATTCGGTAGTTGTTAAACATTATTCAGACGTCAGGCAAACACGGCTATGTCATTAAGAATTGAATTCAAGAACTTCAAGGAGAGCTTGTTACATTTTCTGTGCCACAAATTTCTCTAGATCTGAAAGTATGTGAAGAGTAGAAACTCTGAGACATTTTATCAATCTTACATAGTGAAGTCTATTCTACATGTACTCTTGACCACTTCCGTTTTTAAAAGATCTGTTCACAAACATACATGCTTCTGAAAATTCCGCACATCTAGAGGGCATATTCACTAAAAACTAGGAGCCTATCAACAGGCAAAGGTGTTCAGAATTGTGGAGCATGTAGAAATGTATTTCTCAGGTCAGTATCGTCTTTGCTGGAAACCTGGCTGCAACAAGTTCAACAATATCGTCAAATGGAATTAAAACAACTTGACAACGTGGGTTTTACGACTCCCAGACCCATAAGAGAGTAAAATATTGTCATGAATCCTGCGGTACTCGTAACCAAGATTGGCTGTGCTTGCGAAGACCAGCAGAATTTATCATAGATGCAGACAGAAATACAGATACAGACATTCTTAAACATATCTTCAAAAGGGGTGTTGATCTGTTTAAAGAGGCTCTACTTCATATCATTGCCGGTCACAGTAGTCGCGCCGTCTAAGACATGAACTGTTTTCGCTCGCTTTGAAGCCGGGATCGTGGGTTCGAATCCCACTCAAGGCATGTCTGTGTTTGTGTAGTCCTGTGTGCAGGTAGTGGCCTTGCGGCAGGTTTATCACTAGCCCAAGCAATAGTTCGGACTTAATGTGTCTTCTGCTGCGGGTCTCTTCTTGGCCTTATCTACATTAATGAACTCCTAAGAGTGTGTTAGTTATGAAGATGGAAAATGTTATGCAGATTCCCTATACATCTGAACTTTTCTGACATACCCCTCACATAAGGGATATGAACAGAAGCAAGAGGCTTTCACCATTACTAGGAAGGTGAGAGCTTGACTCCCTTACAGCAGTGCGAGGCGGCAGCTCCTCAAACAACCCCGTCAGTGCTCTGACTAGTAAAGGGGAAAGCGCCCAGGTTCTAAAAGGTTCGCTAATTGTGCGGTCGAAAATGTTGTGTGCCTCATTTTCGATGGCCAATTAGAAGTTGTATGTCTGAAATATTTGTTTTAAAATCAAGAAAGAGCAACTTATAGTCCTTGACGCTAAGCAGTATAAATTTGTGCTTCGCGCAAGGTAGAAGCACCCTCGCTCACTCTTCAGCGCCAGTGTGCATAACCAATCAATCATAATTTTTAACCATATATCTAAAAGTCGTAACTAACCTGCCAGTTACACTCGTATACATAAAGCACATATTATAGCGTCTGGGGAGATGGGAGATGACCTTGAGTGAGGATGTCTACTCGTCTTAACGCTAATTGTTCGTTGTAACAAAAATGTAGTAGGTGAAATAAAAAATAAGTACATATCAACACGCTTCGTTTAAAAGAAAATTCTTAAGCTGAGTGTCCGAGAAAAAGAGATATTTGTATATGCAATTTCTTTTAAGTTTTAAATCTGAATATGGTTTCCCTAGAGGACAACGTTCCTGTACGCATAACACAAATTAATCTGTTGTTTTTCTTAATCTATTTTATTCATTTCTCCAATTTTTATTATTTGTATATATTATGAATTTTCAGTGTTTTCCTGTAATAGGCCATTACTATTGCCAGGCACTCTAATAAATAAATTTATTTATTGTTGTGCCATTTCGTCCTTACATTGTAAGTGTCCCTCTGTACGATGGTCCTTAGTTGCAAATAAAATCGGCAATAAAGTGAACGTGTTCGGAAATAATTTATTTAAGGTTTTATCGCAGTTGCCAGCATGTGCAGAATTTTGCTGTATACATACTCTAACTATTATAAAGTTTACATACCTCACAAATTCTGATATTTGTGTTATATGTACCAGAATACCTTACACTCATACATTGTTTCTCTTATAAATTATTTTCTTCTTTATTTGTTTGTGATGAGTTTAAATGAATGTTGAATTTTTGCTTATTTAACAAGTTAAAATTCAGAATTCAGTTGTTGCCGTTGTCTGGAATCCTATTGCTTCTACTGTTGACAAACTGGAATGCACCGAAGATAAGCTAGCAGAATTTTGCTATTATCTTCTTTTCCTTCATGTGCGTTACAGTTGAGATAATGCCTTAGAGACTTCAAAATTTCACACATTACGTAAGAGGTGATAAATTATTTCACTGTTTATCTTGGTTTCATGTTTTGTCCTTCTCTTTTGGTATCTGCTGGCCTTTGCTATCTTTTTCTGTGAAACAAAGGGTTTTCTATGTCCAATGTATGTTTTTCAAATAAAAATTCTCGTATCGCTAAATACACTTCAGCTGCTAATGTTGTTTCTATGGACATCGTGATATTTGGAATCAAAACGGTTTCTTTTAGTCGTATTTTATAATGGTAAATTCTTAATTTTAACAATAATGTAATTCCCTATACATATATACTATATTTCTTCTCATTGCATAATGGTCAGAGTGAAAACGCTTACTGAATTTCTCTTATTATCTAACTAACACCAGTAGCCCCAATTTATGTTTGTATTCGTATGTATATGATTTTTGTTTCCCTCTCTTGCTTGTGCTTAGTCTGTGGTTGGCTTCGGGTCTTTAACTATGAGCACATAAATGAATAAAAAATTGAACCGATTGATTATTGAGACCCCCCCCCCCACGAAATGCAGTATCTCTCACTATCTCATCCCACGTTCTCTCTTTCATTCTCTCTCTCTCTTCTCTTTCTAAACAATATCCATTCGCTATCTGTGACGGAGGACCAATGCTCTGCTCAGTCAGAGGGCCTACACTGAGAGGCTGAACCCTCGCACAATCCTACATTAGGAAAGTAGGTAAAAGAAGAAGAAGGTAAAACTATCCCTGTAACAGGCCGTGGAGGCCCATAGATTTGTGAGGCTTCGAGACACCCACATTTTCTAAACAATCGGCCCACAGATGGCGGTGAGGTTGTCAGCCTTGCACGCCGGCCATCCTTATCCCCTAGGAAGATCTCTGGTACGCATTTCTGTTAGAGTCTTAGTAGACCCCAGGGCAACAGTGTGGCTGGAAGGACTGGATCAGTTGAAAAACCCAATGACCTTCCAGCTATTAAAAATCAATTAACAATGAATGTAAAATTATTCTGATGGCCAATTAGGCTGAAATATGTAGCAAAATAAATTAAATGTATACACTCTATTTCATCATCCTATTGCAAATCTTTAATTAAATGTTTATGTATCCACAGTTCGTCAACAACGCAACAATTGTTTATTGGCCATGTAACACTTAACATAGATGGCCGAAACATGTTATGTTAAGTGCTAAATGGTGAATAAACAATTGTTGCATTGTTGACGGACTCTGGATACATAGACGTTTAACTAAATGTATATAATTCATTAACTGTATACTATGTTGTGTTGAGGAAAGCAGACTGAAATAGTAGACTAAAATCAATAAACAAATTAACATTTTAATAAGAATGACTCACAGAGCCATTCAGTACACAAAAAGCCAAGGAACAGCGAAATACACAGCTTTAGCAATTACAGGGTGTGTTAGTGTCAGGTTTACACTTCATAAGTGACAAAAGAAATATCGGAGAGATAATCAGCATACATCAGATTACAGCTTATTCCTATGTCACTATTTACGCGTTTCGAAGTAATCGGAGAAGAAAACATTTTCTCTGACACCTGAATCAGCTGTAAGCTATTATTACACTATCAGAACTTGACGCTGTTTTAAGCAATTTCCTTTCTACAGGTCATTATCGATTCTGACATTGGTGAACACCAAGATAAAGAAATGCATGTAGGATGGAAATTAATTGCAGTACTTAACGTAATTTGCAGAACCCTTCAAGAGCACCGCAAACTCAAGTGCTCTCCTTAGAGACAACATTACTGGGGCACTATGTGTTATACTCTCCTGTGTTTCACACTACTGTTGCTTGTCTCTTCAGCATTCTGTGGTGAGTACATAGGCAAACGGAAACACACCTAAATACAGTCTCATGCACTGGGTGAAATTTTTTTTTTCTGTTCAAGAGATTGTATTATTTTATGAGACCACTTCTGTGGTCTATTGATCAGAGTTCCTGGCTACAGAACCAGAGGCCCGGTTTCGATTCCCGGCGCTACCAGATTTTTCTGAGAAGTAGTGGGTCTGGAACGGGGTCCACTCAGCCTCGTGAGGAAAACTGAGAAGCTATTTTAATAAAATAGCGGCTCCGGTTTATACAACCGAAATTAACGGCCATGGGGATTCGTTGTGCTGACCACGCGACACCCTCTATCCGCTAAAGTTGGCACTAACTTCGCCGACAAGCGGCGGTCGCTCGGTCGGTATAGGTCGCTTGCAGACTACAGGCCACTGACTTGTTTTCTTTTTAATGTACGTATACGGATTGTTTTGTTTTGGTGGTATGTGCATGACATTCTTTGAAGCTGTATTGTGTTTCCGAATGTGATGCATTGTATTTGTCTTTATTGAATGAATACATCCACCCATCCATCCATGGGGGTGTGCTACAATAATTCGTGTTTGAAATGCACACGTCCTGAAACCTAAATCTCTACGAAACACCTCTGTATCCGTCTGTCAACCCAACTGTCCATGTATCCTTCCTGTCATCACACAGTTACTTCAAGATTCGAAAAGAGAACCGTATTCTTGAGGTTGAGGTGAATAATTTACTCCTTGATATTTGCTTTCTGCCCCACAGCCAAGCAGAAGTGCTGTCCCGACAAAGAATGTTATGAGTTAGGCGACCCATGGCAAACCCTCACACGTCTAGTGCCAGAGCCAAGATGTATTGAAGAACCTGCAAGATATCTCTTCACTAACAGGTATGAATAGAACTGAACCGTATCAGTGTTACCGACTGCATTCATATGTGTGTATAGCTAGCAGGACAAAGGCTCTATGTAACTTTGACGGTTCCCTAATGAAAGCTTTTATTCTTAATTCGGACAAGACAGAAACCGGTTACGCGCATTTGCTTTCTTGGCAATGTGTTAACCGAACCGTTGCTTAGCACTGAACTATTATGGCTTTCAGGCGTCATTTCACAATACAGCAGTTACAACAAAAGCCTGTGTAATGTAGAACTTCATAATTTTCACTCATCAGCAAATAAAATTAGGATGATCAAATGGAGGAGGATGTGATGTACGGGGCGTGTAGCACGCATGGGGAGACGGGGAATGCATAATATTTTGGTGCGAAAAATAAAACTAAAGAGACCACTAGGAAGACATAGACCTTGATTGAAGAACAATATTAAGATGTATATTTGAGAAATATGATGAGGTGGTAAAAGTGGGATCATCTGGCGGGTAGGGTCCGGTTGAGGGCTATGGTGAACATGGTAATAAACACTGAGGTCCATATAATGTTGGGAAATTATTGAGCGGCTTCTCAAGAAGGGCTCAGCTCCATGGAGAGATAGATAAATAGGTAGTTAGTTAATTAATTAGTTAATATTTACGACTTTTTAATGCAGACAGATAAATACGAGTATTACATTATATTATGAAATTTACATATTACAACATAATGCTCGTTCCGGCTTCAAAATATATCTCTAGCATCTGGTCATATTCTCGTTACTTGTAGTTTAGTTGACTACTCTCAACCATGTCTAAATGATCTTTCTAGTGCTCGCAAACTTTAGGAAATATTTCGACTTGCAAATATCGGAATCATATCCCTCTCATAGCATAAAAATTCCTTAAGGATTCTGGACACCTCCAAACTGTACTTCTTCTGTCATTCTTCTCTATAGCCCGAAGTCCATGTTTGAGAGTGAAAAAATTCGGTTGAGTTAAGGCATCAAAACGGGAACTTAATGATGAAGTCAAAGTGTAACTAGCCGAAACTGTTCACAGGCGAGACATGTTGGATATATTTATAATCTCAGTGCCGAAACACAGTCTCACTTTATATTAAATCACTAAATCTCCTTAATATTATCTACTATCCAGAAAGCAAATTTACCGGCATAATTTTTTCCATACTGGTGATTGATATGTTAGAATACTTTGACACGATAACTGAAAGAAATGTTCTGGTTTCGGCCCAGTAAATTCGCGATGATGAGATTATCCGTTGATACGCAACGACCGGTAAATAACACTTGACCATGGAAACGGTTAGGGACACAACAACCGAAGAACTCCTGGAAAAGATGTTTTCAAGTGGGTTCTTGTCGAGTAATCACAGTACGTCGCCTCAGAAACGATGACCTTTCATACATTTTTTCACTTTCTATCTATGTAGTAGTAATTTTCTTTTTTCGTAGATCGAGTCCGATTTTTCCATTCGCCTTTACAACAGGAAACATCTCCAAAATTCCACAATTCATGGACGTGACGAAGCCGACAGTAATGGTATTTCACGGATGGACAGGTTCTGAGACCTCCTCCTTCATGAGGAACGTAACAGCCGTTTACTTATCACGTGTGAGTGTTGGAATGCTTTCCTTCTGTCGTGTTATATAGGGAATGGACAACAAAGAGGTAAATGGGTAGATAAAGGCAAAGATGTGCCTGTCCTTATTTACTTAGGTACTGAGGCATGAAGGCGTATGCGGAATAGAAGTATAGCTCCAGGCATTCTTCGCTTTCGCACTATGTGAAGTCAGCATTCAGCCTCACGCCACTGTTATTATTTCTCCCGGAGTAAAACGGCTACAGCGTGAAGCTAACCGCTCACAGTTTACTCAGTTTCGAAGTTAAGAACTCATGGAGCTGTTACTCAACTCCTCAATATGGCCTCATGGCGGGAAATTTATTAAGGACATGGACAACTTTACCTTTGCTGAGGTCACTGGCACAATATTAATATTCGTGTGTGACTTATATACAGGTTGACGCTAACGCCTTTTTCGTGGACTATGGCAAGGCTGCTTTTGATTTAAACTACGCACAAGCTGTATCGGACATCAGAGTTGTAGCCAGATATGTAGTCAAGTAAGTAGAGTTGGTTCTTAATAGTCACGTCTCTTCCCCACTATCTTGACACTGTCACTTGATCTATGCAACAGACGAATTTTCTTCTGCCTTGAAAATTCCTCTCCTTTGGGATGTGATGCCGTATAGTCTGGTAGAAGTTTACCGACGTTTCGGAGGATCGTACTGCCACAGTCTTCAGTGATTTTTAGCGCTGAAGATCAAGGCAGTACATACATTTAAACTTCCGTAAATTTCTATCAGTCTACACGACGTCACATCCCAGAAGATGGTATTTTCATACCCATCGCCATGAGAGCCCCCAATTTCTTCTCACTTCTCGTAATGATGCGTACTGTTTCAGGATGGTGCACACTATAATCCAAGGAGGAGTGTCTCCGTCTCAGATCCATTTAATCGGAATGAGCTTAGGGGGCCAATTAGCTGCTTATGTAGCTAAGGCTATTCCTGGAATTGGTAGATTAACAGGTAAACTGTAATCGTCACTTATAATTTAGCAGTAACTTGAATAATATTAAGGGATATCAATCAGAACTGAAGACTCCTCCATAAGGTAACTTTATTATTAAAATGTCTACAATTTATAAATTGTAATGTCGAAGTACTATATTAGCTGAATCCCTTCTGATTTTTTTTTTTGCTGATCATAATTATGATTTTATATGAAAGACAGCTTGAAAGTAGAAAGCTGTATCTCATTTTTAATGAGATTCCCTTTAATGAAAATTCTTTCCACACTGAAAATGTCTTGATTCTCAGTTCTTCCTGAACATTCAATGACTCACGAATCTGCCTCGTTGGTGTCTAGTGGTAAAGCTGGACGTCCAGTGTGCAGGATCATACCCGGCCAAGATAAATCGAGTTTTAGGGATATAGAAATCCGTTGCACAACTTGCCTGATAGGAAAATGAAACCTAGAGTCCTATTTTGTACATTTACGGCATGCAAAGAAATATTTCTCTCACGAAAACAGATGGGCGAAGGCTAAATTACACCATTTACTCTCGCCCACAAAGCTCCCTACTCTGTTTCTGGATGTCACTGCGGTCGAATGACTGCGAAGAACTCTGGAAGGTAAGATTAAGAATTCGAAAAATCACACAGCCCAAGTGGAGTGCGCTGGATAAGTCGATGATATTGATGGCCCAATGGCCTCGGAATAGAAAATGAGCTATAAATAATCTTGTCATTTGAGGTAAATGATTTAAGGCACCAAACACCGACCTTATAACATAGCACCTTCTATTTTTACTGTCGCGATATTTCCTTGTTAATGTAACTATATATTCTAAGAAGAATAACTACTGGGTTCACAGGACTGGATCCAGCTGGTCCCTGGTTTACGGACCAGAGCTGTGAGGTGCGTCTCTGTAAGGGAGATGCCCTGTTTACGGAAACGATCCACACAAGTGGAAACCCCGTGTGGGGATTTGGGACAGCCAACGAAGACAGTAAGGATATGTTTTCTTAGCGGTAAAGGGGGTGCAGAACTGGTAAATTCAACCTGCGTGACAAACTAAACGAATAAATAAATAATTTTAAATGCAAATAAACACTTAATGACTTGACAAATTAACGTGCCAACATATAATAGAGATAAGGGTAAACTTATCTCTGTGCAGTACCTCATAAAGGCGTATTGGAGAGTGATCCTCAGATTCACATTTTCTTGACCTCGATAATAGCTGGAGGTGAGTGGTTGGCTTGACGCCCCTGCCGCTTTAACCCCGGGGAAAGAGCCCCGGTATCCATTGGATAGGAAGTTGGGTTGACACCAGAACCGGTCTGGACGATTTGGAGAGAGTAAATTTTTTACTTTACCTCAGTCGTCCAGCCCGTAGCCAGTCGCTATACCGGCTCCTGTTTCGTATGTATACAGTGTAATAAGAGGAACATTTGCAACATCAGGGTCGCCCCCAGGCAAACTGTGTGTTCCCTCTGCCACTCAGGTATAGAGACATAAATATTCTTCATGCAATTTTCAATGTGATAAAAAAAGCCATTAATGTTGTAATTATTAAAGTGAGGTTGTTGGATATAAGTAAAGAGAAGTATAAATAATTCTATAATACTATAGGTAATATCACGGCCCCTATGAAAAACAATGAACAAGAGAGGCTTATAAAACAGCCATGGAACTTGAGGCAGACAACGTAGGAGTGGCAAGATTTTGTACATCAAATGAAGAGGCTGTCCATTGTTATTTTCAAGAGACCTTACCTGGATACCTTCTGCTTTTATTTTGTTTCATCAGGTGACGTGGATATTTGGGTAAACGGAGGCTGGGATCAACCGAACTGCGGTCTTGTGGGGGATCCACCGGCTATTCGGCAGCTAAGTGCGGCCCAGGGTGTTGAAGGTAGGAAACGTACAGTTAGTGATCTAGGTGTGTGTCAGCCTTTGTGTGCCAACGTCATATAACTTATTCAAAGGCTAAATATTTTCTCGTATTACAAATTCCTGGAAAGAATTCTCGACTCTCATCATACGGGCTTGGGTAAAGTCATGTATCTAAGTCTGGTGTTTCAATGTATTAATAATTAAATTTCAGTATGTCTCCGAACGCAATAGACATACAATTAACTGTATATATTTTATATGCAAACGGGCTGTCAATAGCTTGGACTGTGTAACATCCAATGTTGATTCGTGTAGAGGGAAATGAATGGGATATCGTAGTACTCAGTCGCCCAGGTTTTGTTATTATTGCCGCACTTTACTCGAACAACTAAAGGTCTTTAAAATTTCAATAAAATTTTCCGGCTTCTGGCACGATATTTCAATACGGGACCTCTTGTATAAGGCGCAGGATACTAACCGCTCGACCGTGGTGTTGGTATTGTAAATGTAGCAATATACGTAGGTGAGTCAAATGAAAACATTAAATATTTTTTGAGTATTATTTATTGTGCACAAGTGGTACAAGCTGTATCACTTTTCAATATAATCTCCCCCACGCTCAATGCAAGTCCTCCAGCGCTTACAAAGTGCATGAATTCCTTTAGAAAAAAAAAATCTTTTCGTAGTCCGCGCAACCACTCATGAACCACGTGGCGCACCTCTTCATCAGAACGGAACGTCTTTCCTCCCATTGCTTTTTTGAGTGGTCCAAACATATGGAAATACATAGGTACATATGATAACACGGCACCCACACACAACGAGCAAGGCATTATAGTTCTATCGTATTTAAGATTAATTTCTGGAGACTGCTTTTCGAAAAAGGTAAGCCTTGTGCGTCTTAACTCTTTAGGCGATAGAGTAAAATAATGTGTGAACGAAGAATTAACCGGTTGTAGAACAGTTTAAATTACCATCTCTGACAGGCAAACATATACAGGACTTTGAAACGTTATTTGAAATGTTTCTCACACGATTTGTTCTCCGTTTTTTTTTACAGATAATTTGGAGTTGTTCTTCTGTTCTCATGGTCGGGCAATATTTTATTATACTGAAGCATTAGCAAGCAGCTGTAGGTTCTGGGGTGTGAAGCGAGACCCACTCAGCATATGGATAAGGTGCGTTATGCAACAACATGTGAGACAAGGAGACTGGAGAATTCCTTCTTGAGAAGCCGAAAATTGCGCAGTTACTCAAGAACATCCCAGCATTTTATGGGACCCGAAGGTTTATTACCGTGTTCACAAGAGCCATGCACTGGTCCCTATCTGGAGCCAGATAAATCCAGTTCATAGCATGCCATGCTATCTCTCTAAGATCCATTTTAATATTTTCCGCCCACCTACGCTTTGGTCTTCCCAGTTCTTTACTTCCTTCTACTACTCCTTCCAATATCCTATATGTATTCTTCCTCCAAATTCGTCCTGCGTTCCCTGTTCAACTCATCTCCCGTATCTCTGATTTCATAAATAAATAAAAAAAAAAACAATCTTAATCAAAAACGTGGCGAGCTAAGGAATGAGCGGTGGGTGAGCGATGTTAATGACAGAAGTGACACCCGATTATGAAATACGCCAAAAAAAATACCAGTGTCATGTACGGGAGTCGAACCTATAAATTCTAAGATCATTTGGCCTTAAATTCAGCACAATTTTACGCATAATTTTCAGAAAAATAAAATATTGTCTTATTTGAAGAAACACAACTCAAATTTAAGTTTTATTTTCTTGCTTATTTGATGACGTAATTACGATGTTCATGAGCAAAGGAGCTTAATGTATGGATTCTCCTCTTTATAGGGCATAAAGTTGACACGTGCTAAAGCAAAGATTTCAAACTGTTAAACAACTTACTTCTCCTTCCATAGCCGACTGACTCTGGGACATGCGACAAAGTTCATCGTACATCCACGAAACTGTACCTTACAGAACTGCGTGCCAGTCGGCTTAGATACCATACATGCTACTGGCCGAGGGAGCTTCATCGTGCCAACAAATTACCGACAGCCATTCTGTGGTAAGTTGATTCGGATGTACAGAGAAAGTAAGAATTTATATGACGGAGCGAGTAACGGCACTGAATTCGTGCATATCCTCCAGATAGTAATATTAGGCTAGAAATAGATATACTATTACATAAAACACAGATACATATATGTTCCTATGTCTTACTATAGTGATACTCTTTTAAGGATGAATTTCATGTTAAAATATGTCTACCGCTATAATTCTGACTGCTCGTCAAGAAGGTTTATTATACAGTGCGTACAATCAAGTGCGCGCCGCGGCTGCAATTTGCCGTGAGTCATACCACCGCAGAACGGATGCAACTCCCCCCCCACGACTGCAGTCGTGGGGAGGAGTTGCATCCGTTCTGCGGTGGTATGACTCACGGCAAATTGCAGCCGCGGCGCGCACTTGATTGTACGCACTGTATATTCTGATTAATAACAAAAGTACTCGTAAATGCTGTAGATAAGAGTTTTACTGTTTTTAAAGCCACAAAAGCGAGACACATGATTTAGTATTGACACTAGGGAAGGGCATGGTGACAGGGTAACCGGGGTCCGGTTCTGGGCAACAAAAATAGATGCCCCTCTCTCCACAGACTGCAGATAGGCTCTTGAGGGCATCCAGCCCCGTACGCAATGAGTACCGGCGTTATTTCCCTGCGAGCAAAGAGGCTGGAGCGTGACTGCGGATGTTGATCTACATCCCGACTCGTCCCGTAGGTCCTAAAGGCAACGTCAAGGTAGCTGGTTTCTGAAGTCATGCCCTCCTGAACAGAAATCGGTAAAGCGGCACACTCGACTGCGATTTTTAATAAATTATGTCTTTCACAAAGTTTTTAATTAAGTCCTTCTTATATAACCTACGATACTGGAAGGCCACGAAGGGTTTCACTTCGACTGTGGATGGATGGCGGGAGTTTATGCTTAAACGTGTTTCTCTCATGCCAGATGAATTCAGTCCACATTGTTGAGTGTTCGTAAGCGAGTTATCTCATGAGTAGCCTCTACATCGTCAGTAAGAGTGAATGTATACAAACCAAGAGAAGAGAGACCATATGAAACTCCTTTATTCCTAGTGCCTTCACTCACTCATCGAGCTGAACCCTTCTTGAAAAGTCGCCAATTGTGCAGCTACTCAAGAACTTCCCAGCATTTTATGGAACCTAAAGTTTCATTACCGTCTTTACAAGAGCCCTCTACTCGTCCTTACCCCAAACCAGATCAACCATATCCATACCATGCCATCCTATCTCTCTAAGATCCATTTACCAACCTACGTCTTGTTCTTCCTTCTGNGTGATGGGAGGTTGGAGAAAACTGCATAATGAGGAGCTTCGTAACTTGTATTCTTCGCCATCTCATCCTCCTTGGCTTGATCATTCTAATTATAATTAGAATGATCAAGCCAAGGAGGATGAGATGGCGAAGAATACAAGTTACGAAGCTCCTCATTATGCAGTTTTCTCCAACCTCCCATCACTTCATCTCTCTTCGGTCCAAATATTCTGCTCAATACCCTGTTCTCAAACACCCTCAGTCTATGTTCCTCCCTTAATGTCAGAGACCAAGTTTCACACATATACAGAAACACAGGCAAAATTATAGTTTTGTATATTCTAATTACAACTTCTTTATTAACCGTCACAACCCAACATATATCGAGGTCAGTGCCCAAGACCTTGATATTTGTTGTGTTGTGACGGTTAATAAAGAAGTTGTATATTGTAACACAACAGGATGCATGAAATTAATATTATATTATAATTTTTATGTTTTTGGACAGCAGACGAGAAGACAAAAGATTCTAGACTGCATGGTAGCAAGCATTACCCGAATTTAATCTCCTCTCAAGTTTCTCCTGAATCAGGTTTTGGTTTGTTATTGCCGTTCCCAAATATTTTGCCAGTACTTTCCGAACAAAATGCGTATATATGTTTCTTTCTGCACTACGAGTATACATAACCTAGCTCTTGTTCCACGCCAGTTAACCCAACTGACATGCGATAACAAGGTAAATTACTGTCTTGGTATTGTTGTGTCATCTACGTGAGGTTGAATAAATAAGTTTTCTAGCTGAATTCTTTTTCTTTCAACTTCAAAATGGGCCTTCAGACAGCTTTAATAAATTTACGTATGTACATATTCACAGTGTCGCAGTAATAAATCGACTGGACGCCTTTAGAAAGAAGAATTTCCACCAATGTAAGGATTCGAAGTGCAGCTGAAAGTGAGACATCCAAAAGGAGAAACATTTGAAGTTTGTGGCTGTGTAACTACTGCACGTTTCAACACATATCCTGCTCTTTGGAATATATGCAGTTCACTGCTTTACCTGCAGGAATCTCTGAGAATGTCCCTGTATCAATTCAGATAAACAAGTTTCTTCATTCGTGCCCTGTACTTCAATGACAAATCAAAGCAATAAATAATACTGGAAACTAACAGCATATAAGATCTTATGTAGCTTTGTATGCTATGAAGGGCCTCTCTTCGGATGAAGACACAGGAATTGAAAGATGCGAGAAGAGAATTTCGGAATGTTAATGATGTATCGACAGTTCTTCGATTTATGTAAGGATACCAAAGGTACGTACAGTGATTTCTGGTTTAGACGGTTTATTTTTTGAAAACATCGCTTAAAATGTTCCTTTTGTAATTTATGTCCCAAATATGAATTTAGTCCTTAATAACTAGAAATGGGAGCATGTTTAATAATTAAAATAACAATATTAAAAATTAGTTGCGATCAATAATGTCAATTAATTTTTCAACTAAAACTTGCGTGCATCTCACCATTTTATTTAAAGTTTCAAAACGTCCTTTTAATGTTTCAACTTGCTGCAAGTTGGCGGATGGAATTAGCTTTTGTTAAAAGAAGCCTGTATCAAAATTGGAATAGACTCGTAATAAATTAATCGACTAGATACCCCATAGGTGTAAGCAGGAGGCATGAAAATTTATAGATACTAACACGAGCGCAAACACTCTAAATAAAGCATACCCCACCCACAAAAAATATGTAAGAACAGAAGAATATTCAATGAATCAGATTTCATTACCAAAAACAATAGCAAATTATATATAATTATTTATTGGGGAACCTTAGTTCCCAGGATTAACGTTGAAAGCGTCAAACACCTCCACCGTGAACCTGCGAGTCATAGAAGGGACGAAAACGGAAGTCTCGAATTCGATAGAGTAAAATATGACCACAAGTCCAACGGGTCTCGGACCGGAAAATGACTGCACTGGCGAGGTCCAACAGAATTTGTAAACGACAGACCTGTCCTTTCGTCAGAGAGGGAGAGAGAGAGCTCCACATCAACAAATGTCGACAGTAATAAATATCTATTAATAAGCCCCAGATGGGTGCTTTATTCCAAGACAGACTGGCCGACTGAAAGTCGGTAGTAATATAAAGTAGGCCGCACACCGACATGCGTCAAGACATGTAACAGTCAAGACACCATGTCTGCGACATGACGCAAATAAAGAGCACAGTTGAAACGAATGAGATTATGAAAGCCGCCGTACACCGGTCTGAGTCATGATGCTGACGTCATGTGACGATGTCATTTCCGAGAAGGCACTATAATTCATACTGAGCGCCGCGGGAACGTCAGATATTAGCTAGCGAGTCGTGATGCTGACGTCATGTGACGATATCATTTCCGAGAAGGCACTATAATTCATACTGAGCGCCGCGGGAACGTCAGATATTAGCTACTAGGGTATCCACAGGTCTACACTGAACGTTGCATTTCGCCTGACACACGGGGAGGCAATTCCATTCTGCTTTCGGATTCGCATGTGGCATTAGACAGCAGTAATTCCTTTATGCTGGACAACCAGATTCTGTTTCCAGAGTAAGGTAAGATAAAATTGTCCCTGTGCTTAACTAATTAAGTACTACGCCATGAAGGCGTATGTAGGAGTGGATGTATAGATCCACATTTTCTTGACCACGGCAATAGCTGGAGGTGAGTGGTCAGTTTCACGCCCAGGCGGTTTTACCTCCGGGGAAAGAGCTTCCAGTACCCACTGGATAGGAGGTTGGGTGGACCCCAGAGCCGGTCTGGACATTAAGTCAATTGAGTATCAGGGTTAAATGACATAGTTTTGTGAGGTCAACTACTCATCTCCACTTAGTGCCGAGGTTCAGAATACGAAAAGCTATATATTCACGTCTCCATACGCTTCCATGCCATGGTGTTTAGGCCCAGTGACAGTGACAATATTGCAAGGTGTTGCAGTAAACCATTATTTACATCAAAAAGCAGGAGGTCATGAATAGTAATTCAGCACGTTAAACAATATTGCACGGTGTTGCAGCAAACCATTATTTACATCAAAACGCAGGAGGTCATGAATAGTAATTCAGCACGTTAAACAATATTGCATGGTGTTGCAGCAAA